GCCCGATCGGGGCCGGGGCCTTGGCAGGCGGCGTGCGGTCCAAGGTAGCCCCGAGCGTGGACTTTGACCACAGCTGCTCGGACAGTGTCGAGTACCTGACGCTCAACTTTGGGCCCTTCGAGACAGTGCATCGCTGGCGGCGCCTCCCGCCCTGCGACGAGTTCGTGGGGGCTCGGTACGGCGTGGGTCCAGGATCTTGGGGGTGGGGAGGATGCCCGAGAGGGTTTCATGATGGGTTCCAGGGAAAAGGCTGGGGCATGGATCTGGTAATGAGGGGGAGGAGTGGTGGTGTCCTGGGCGATGCCCGGAGCCGTGGCGGGGATTTTGAGGGAGTCCCGGAGCGGGGTGCCCAGGGGCCAGGTACCAGAGTCATGTTGTGGGTCTCCAGCTGAGTCCCAGGTGCTCTGCAGTGGGATGAGGAGTCCAGAGAGTCCTAGGACAATGACAGGGTCCCCACATACAGGGTTATTGGGGCGGGGGTACTGGTGGAATTTAGGGGTTTCTGTTCATCTTGATAGCTGAGAGGTGTTATCCAACTTATGTGGCAGCCCCGGTGTTGGTCTCATTTCTTGGGTGCCCCCCCGGAGGGAGGGTCCTGGTCTCATCTCTACCCACCCCTCTTTTCTTTCCAGCCGCAGCAAGCACACCGTTGTGGCCTATAAAGATGCCATCTACGTATTTGGTGGAGACAATGGGTGAGTGCCTCGGAGCATCAGGGTGTTTGGACCAGGGAGGGACAAACATGGTGGTTTGGATTAGGCTTCTGCAGCTCCACTACTGTCTTTACAAATGTTAGCCAAGCATTCAACCTCCATTTCCCAGTCTGTAACGTTCCCTGCCCTCAGGGCCCTCAGCAAATCATCCAGTGGGTAGCATATGCTCCGGACACAGAAATTTCCCTCTTGCTCTGACCGAGTGGACAGAGCCTTGAAAGAAACACGTCAGCCCTCGCTGCCACCCTGCCAGGCGCTTAGCCTTCCTGCTCACCCTCCTGCTCTTCCTCTGAATCACCTGTGAGTGAGGCCTTCCCCCGACCACCTGGACCATCTGCACCTCTTCCCGGCTCCATTGGTCCCAGGGCATACAGGTGTTTGTTAGCTGTCTTCTCCAGAGCAGGGCCTGTATCCCAGCACCCAGACAG